ACTACATCTCTGTCTTACAATTTTACACTATCTCTAGCAGGTTTAGAAGTCCTGGTAGCACACTGTTTTTCGGTGTCTTCTGGGCTGGGCATTTTTCTTTCATTCTGGTCTTCACTCAGCCTTCGTTCTCCACTCAACAGCCAGAGTGGTGCTTTAAAATGTTATGACAGCCTTTCCCTTTCCTCACCTTCGCGGATTTCCCATTGCACTTGGAATAAAATCATAACTCCTTGGCCTAGCATAGTAGGATATAGCTTCCTCTTGCTCACTATTCTGTAGCTTTGTGTTTCCCAGACATGCCAAATTTATTTTCACCTCAGTATTTGCACTGGTGCTTCTACTTCTCTGTCTGGAGAATTCTTTCCTCATATCTTTCTGTGACTTGTTCCCTCACTTTAATCATATTTCTGCTCAGATGCCCTTATCTGTTAGACTTTCCTGTCCGTCTATCCTGACCCTGCACACAGACACACATATCACTCATGAAGAATACCAGCTTGATTTCTCACAGCCCTTGTCAACCTGACATTGAACTGTGTGTCTGTTCACACACAGTTGTTTACCACACCTCCGCCTCTTTATGGCATAATGTCAGTGAGAGCAAACTGCTGGGTTTGTTGTTCTTAAGTGCTGAAGAATCACATCTACCCTATGTGCAATGGACTGAAGAGATAAGACTTAGACAAACTTGTCATCGCTAGTATCTGCTTGTAGTTGGAAGAGCAAAATTGCACTGAGAGAAACTTTACTCTTCCCTCTAAGCCAGTGGTTCTCAACCTTCCGAATGCTGAGACCCTGTAATACAGTCCTCATGTGGTGGTGATTCCCCCAACCATAAAATTATTGTTGTTGCTACTTCATAACTGTAATTTTGCTACTGTTATGAATTGGGCAACCCCTGTGAAAGTGTCATTCAACCCCCAAAGGAGTCGCGACCCACAGGTTGAGAACTGCTGCTTTAAGCTCTTGCAGTGATCTGAATTTTATTTTTTTGCATAGTGTTACAGAGGAAGTTTTCTCCATTTCATGGATGAAAGAAGAGAGGCACTTTGAGTTTTTAAGAATTACATTGAGTAAAAAAAAAAAAGAGAATTACATTAGGTTCACATTGAATTCTCCAAAGAAACTTAGAAAAAATGGCTTAGAAATGTATTCCTACTTGAAATTTAAAATTCAAAATAAATAGATTTCTTGCATTGATTTTGATATGTTTTGCAGCAAATTTCTTTAAATTAAATAAATATAAATCGAATTAAAGTTAATATAAAATTAAAGGCTTTGTTTCCTAATTCTGTAAGTCTGACTTTAATAGATTGCTTTCTTCCTAGCTTGCTCTTGAGAAATATGAGGAAATGTTTCCAGCATTTACTGATTCAAGAGAATGTAAATTATTGAAAGTAAGTAATTTTGGAATTTTTAGGGGAAAAATTTTGGGTTTGGGGGAGTTAGTGAAATTTTACTTGTGTAAAGTCTGTTAATTTGTGTATGGGACCTGGTACCTTTTGTTTTTGCATTATGAATCTTCAAATGCCACTACCCCTACTTCTCACTTAGTGACTAGCTCATTGGTCAACATTTATGACAACAGTAAACAATTTATTATACAACTATTTTTCACATTAACAATATTTGTCTCGCAGTCAAGAACACCAGAGTGTGAGACAAGAGTAATGCTGTCTCCTGTGGTGGTTTTTGCGTCCCCTTGTTTTAAGTCTGGATTTTTAGTGGGTTGACAGCTTTGCAATATTACAGTGATCTTTCATCTTGTGGTTTGATGTTGTCACCTTCCATTTTTAACTAATCCTGATTTTTGTCTAATGAACTCATCTTTGGAACCTAATCAAGTTAATAAGTGACGAATGGGTGTATAGTCAGGAGCATAAGATTGTGTTCTGAAACGGGCCATTTGAAAAGCCGAATCCATGAGTTGGGGTCATTCTTGACTTTTATTTGAATGTTTTCGCAATTTTGTGATACTTGATGACATCAATTAATGTGATACTGAAGTTGTTGAAAGCATCTATTCACAGATGGGACTTTTTAGCCTATGAAACTAATTTTTCTCTTTATTTATTTTATAGAAACTTCTAGAAGCTCATGAAGAGCAAAACAGTGAAGCTTACACTGAAGCAGTAAGTTATGCTCTGGGGATATAATACATACTTGGAAAGTTTCAATTCCAAAACTTAACCTTTTTAGTTTTTATAATTCTGATCATTTATCTGACATTATTCTTGCATTAAATGTTATTTCTGCACGCTATTTTTTTTTTATACATCCTACAAACCATTAAAATTAGACTGTTCCATTAGCCATTAAACTATAGCCATTAGACTATATCACTTGAGATTTATTTCTTGATATAAGCTTAAAATTATTTAATTGCGAGGCTACTTTAAGAATACCTCATATAACTATAATTGACTTTTATTTCTTTGGAAAATAATCTGACAGAAATAAGTGTAAATTAAAGGTAGTTAAATAAAACTTAAACACTCAGAGTTTTCTGTTATTAGCATAAAATAAAGATTTTTTTTACACTCATTTTTCTGGGTTCCCAATTTTTGCTATCTTATTTTTAGCACTAAGTAAATTTCTTCATATGGCTTTGAGATAATAGTGCAAAAGAATGTTTTCCTATTTAACTTTTGACACCAACAATTTTCATACTATTGCAGTGCTTCTCAAGCTGTGGGTCGTGACCCCATTGAAGGGTCGAACAGCCCTTTCACAGGGGTCTCCCAATTCATAACAGTAGCAAACTTACAGTTATAAAGTAGCAACAAAAATAATTTTATGGTTGGGGGTTACCACACATGAAGAATTATATTAAAGGAACGTGGCATTAGGAAGGTTGTGAACCACTGTACTATTGTAATATTGCATTCCTCAATGAAGAAAGCTGGCATGGGAGCTTTGCTGGGATGGGGACATAACTGTGCATTTCTGATCTCTTTGGGCTTCTCTATTGCTAAGAGGTCAGAGTCAGACGTGCCTCCATACGTCATCCTTCTTGAATTGCTCTGACACCAGCTGTTCCTCCCACACCACACTATTATCTGTGCAATGGCCTCACGGAGTCACTAAAAAGACTCACTTTCTTAGGGGAGTTGACGGGTCAGGATCAGAAAACAGTAAGGATGCAGTCATTTGTCAGTAGCAATAATTTGCAGCCAGGAGAGCCAAGTCTCTCTCTGGTCCATAGCCGCTTAGCCACATAGTCTCTTGGACTTTGCCGCCATATACCGAGAAGCTGCCTGTTGCTCCGCCGCAAGGCAGCGTAAAGTCAGCACTGCTCTTCTGTTCGCGCTCTGGGTTTCCTTGCTTCCGCCTCTGCGTTATGACAGGCTCTTTTGCTTTGCTCTGTAGTTTCTGCGCTACAGGCTCTGTTCTCAGCCGCAGCCATTAACGACAGAGCTCTTGAGCGTCCTGAGTTTTCTCTCGGTGTGAGATGGCTCATATGCACAGAGGAATGGCTGGGACGGAGGTGTGGTTTTTGTCGTTCAGCAGACCATACCTCCAAGGAAACAAAGCATGTGACTCAGTCAGCCCCCCCCTCTTCTATGGTCAGGACTCGATTCCATTTTAATCCAGTCCAGTAGTAGAGCAGAGAACCCCTCCAAAATTGGGATTACAGCTACAGACATTGTTTTGAATTACAAATAAGGAATTATGGCTAGAAGGATTAATCGACTACATCTCACTCAGTAAGACATTGAAGTGTATTAGAATTCTATTTTCACACCTCCTAATATTGCACTAGAGGACTACAAGGGGCATCAAAAGTTTGTGTTGAAAGCCATTATCTTTTCATTCCATTGTGCTATGAACTCTTTGAAGCCCATTCAAATAAATCTTCTATGGTCCTGTATAATCCTAACTATGATGTCTAATTTTATTTGTCACATTAAATATATTCTGCTACCAGTTATAAAGGCTATTAGAACTTTTCTTCATGCAAAAGCACTGAAACTTGTCACTAGCACAAACAAAAAATGCACAGAGGAACGAAATATTGCAACATTTTAATGAAGGAGTTATAAACTGGGGTGAACAATTTCTCCTGAAGAAACCTGGTGGTATTATTGTTTAATATTTTGGTTTTGTTTCCAGGTAATAATTTTTATTCATCTTTCCTTTAAACTAGGTAAAGGAGTTTGACTCAATATCTCGCTTGGATCAGTGGCTTACTACCATGTTGCTTCGTATCAAAAAATCCATCCAAGGAGATGGAGAAGGAGACGGAGACCTAAAATGAAATGTTTATATATTTGTGGCATGTAGCTAACTCTTACTTATTTTTGTCGTAAGGCCAAGTATTCTTTATTGGATGCTTATGTCATGGCTTAATTTTGTTGCATAAGAACTAAATGATCTGTATATTATTTGTGGTCACTATGTCTGTGTAATGGTGATTTATGGATATGACGTGTAATTCATGCTTGCCAGAGCCCCTGGATTTTCTGAAAACTACTTCATCATCTTAAACTCCTATTATTTTGCTATGTACATAGCCCATATTTAATTTTGTCACTTTTTTATGGTCTTTTTTTCTTGGACTTGAGTACCCAGCATAATTGTTTTACTATATGCTTTGTATATTCTCTATATACTAGCATCATGATGTGTTCACTAAATATATGTGCTTGCTTAGGACAGTTATTACGAATGAGTTTATAACTTTCATTAGGAATTGTTTATATTTTTGGTATCCTGTGACTATTTTGATGGTGCTAGTGACAAGTTCCAGTGCTTTTTATATTGTTGTGTATGCTATCATGTGCATGGCAAACATTCAGTACTGCTTCACTCTGTTGTCAACATTCACACTGTCAGGAAGGGAGCATCCTGACAGTACTCGCTTATGTGTATTAGTGTCAGGGAGGATCTAACTGACAAGTACTTACACACACACAGAAAAAAGTCTACAAGAGATTAATTTTCCTTGTCCCTTCTTTAGTTGGAAATAAGTGATTTAAGTTGGGAATCACTTTCTTTATAATCTTTTTTTTCCTTTATATTCTTATAAAGGTATTTTGTCAGACTTTTCTCCTGGTTTTCCCATGTCAAGCATTTTCCCATGTTGATATACAATGAACCTTCTGTATCTTTGGGTTCTGCATCTTTAAATTCAACTAACCAATCATCAAAAAATACCACCCCCAAAGGCACCTACAAAGAAATTAAGTGATCAGAGCAAGCCCTAAGAAGCTAAGAGGGAACATAAAATGCTATTCATATTTTATTGGGTAGCATAAGTAATATAGGGACGATTTAAAGTATTAGGAGAATATCTGTAGGTTAGTATATAAAAGTGTATTTTAGATGAGCAGACTTCACAAAGTTTATGGGAAAAGTCCATTATCTTTTCAATTCCATTTTTCCATGAACTTGTTGAAGCATCTTTATGTGGGTTTTGGTATTGGGATTGTGGGGGTAAGGGAGGATCCTCAAACCAAAACCCACATGCATACCAAGGGACAACTTAATATCTTCTGTGCCAGTCAGGACTGACTAGATTATGTCAAAGCTTGAGAATGTATGTAAATAATTATATCTGTTTATTTAACCTGATGTGCTTAGGTGGGGATAAATCTAGTACTGGATTAATTATATGCTGAGATGGGCAAGAACCCTAATTTGCTTCTAAGGGGCATACTTTTTCTGTTAGCTGTGTTATTGTGTGCATTTGAACTCTGCCCTGCTTATTTTTATTAAAATAGCAAATATTCTCTTGGTTAAAGAATTTTATCCTACTCCTTAATGGTGGTATAGGAAGTCCTCGTGGCCTTGTGGGTTAAACATTGGGCTGCTAACCACAAGGTCAATGAATGCTAACCTTAAGGTCAAAACCCCAGCTGTTCTGCAGGAACAAGACGAGAGCATGTGCTCTCGTCAGATGCACAGTCTGGGAACCCTACGTTGGATTAGTGCATCAGAATAGACTCGATGGCAGTGGGTATTAATGCTGTGTGTGGATTGTCTAGTTTAGAAATGATCTTGTTTCCAAAATATCTTGTGCATATTTTTATGCTTAAAAGATTTGCACTTGATGATGCATTTGTTACCAGCATAGCCTATTGTGCTTTCTAAATTGTGCTGCTGTCATTGGTGACAGTGAAATGTCCTATGTTGTGGACATTACTAGTATTTGAATGCTATTTTTGTTTTGGGATTTCGTTCTACAGACTTGGGTAGGACTGTATTTTTCAGATAGAGTAGATGTGCCTGGACTAAGGTCAGATCTAAAAAGGCTTCAGTGAGTTGGTCAATCTTAGGGTGAAGGATTAAAGCACAAACAGTGGAAAAGAGCTAGCTGAGGCCAGATGGTGGAGTGTTCTGCATCAGATGATGCCAGCAGGAGTCCCTGACATCTTTACGGTGGTACTCTGTGCAAGATAGATGGTGGAGCAGAAAGCTCAGTGATATCAGTGTCAGGTGGGGATGGATGGGATGGGTCAGAAGCTATGTGAGTGCTGAATATGATCATCAGTAACATTACTTCTTAAAATGAAAGTGGATCATCAGATTAGGTAAATTTTGCACCTTTACTTCCCCATGGAGTCCTTTATGAAAAAGATTAGAGAAAAATGCAGGTTCTTATTGCTATTCCTGATTTTCCTGGTTGCTCTTCCAACCAGCTAGCTAAATTTGGGAATTGGAAATTTGGAAGTGGTTTGTAGCTTATTTCTTCTGGTTCTAAGTCTGTTCCCTATGGTGAAAACATCTAAACACTAGCCAGGTTGTGTGCTTGTTTCATCCTGAGGCAGTAGCTTGTTTCCACTTAATAATCTTCCAACCTGACTAAAATAAACAAATGATCTTTCAAGGCAATTTCCTCATCATCCCCTAACAGACCCTGGCTAAAGAAAAGGTATGACTTTGTAAATTAGTATCTGTAAAGTTTTATTGTCAATCAGTTACTGTATTGAAATAGACACTAGGATCTGTGCCTGGGTTAAGAATTTTTATTTTTAATATTTCACATGAAAATAGTAAAAAAAATGCAATGGCTAAACAAGATTAATGGCAGATGAGAGAAAAGGCCAAGTAGCAGTATGAAAAAATACTTGATTGATCATTGAAATACTGTTTCTTTTACAATGCCTACAAGTTAGGTTTTCAAGATTTATAGAATGCAATTTATGGACAAAGCAATGATGGATGCTATTTTCTTGTATTTTCGTAAACCTGGGGCTAGTTCATAGTTAAAATTTCTTACAGGAAAGCTCGCTTTTTGTGGCAACATTTTTAATAGCTTGCATTCTGCGTTCTTCCAATGATTTAAAAAAAAAAAACAGTATTTTTGCACAACTGTGGCCATAGGTGTTGGTATCACTGTAACCAAAGTATATGCATTAGCCCTTAAGCAGTTATTGTTTCTTCTGATATTGTGTATTTAAACTGCCCAAATGCAAACAATTGTGACTTTCTTTTGAGGACTTGGCAGCACAGCATGTCACCTGTAACTTACCCACCTGTGTTGTGAACTGTTACATTTTCGCCTTGTGAACTCCCAAATCAGTCTCTGCTGGTGTTCTCTTTCCCAATGATCCCAGAGGATTAATTATGAAAACTAACATGTAATGATAAATCTACCTTAGCAGAAAGAATATTTATGTTCTTTGTGAACCTGTATGGTAAATAAAGTGGAAATTATGAAAAATATTTTGACTAGCTTTTCCTAGCTAACTTTACACAAACCAAGAATGGCTTCTTTTTCTTGACTTTGTGCTAATTAAGTTTAAGACAATGGGTATTGTTCTTTTCTAGGCTTTGTGACCATTTGAATATTGGTTTGAGTATACAAATACCTCAATCAATATCTTGATCAATTTCAGGGTGCTATAATTAACTTTCAGGCATTGAGGGTTTATGAGAACACCCTGGTTATATAGTCTGATGTTTTCTATTCGATGTATATAATCACTGTGCAAACCTTATATTCTAGTCCCATCTTGCTGCTTCCATGAAGGAATCTTGCTTGAACCCTTTAGGACTGTCTCTGAGGAAGTTGGGTACGTAAAGAAAGAACTAAGTACCACACTCTGCCCCAAAACACGCCACTTGACTGTCATGTATTTCTTCTAGTTCAGTGCATGGAACAAGGCAGATGCCCTAGAAAAGGTCAAGTTCACTAGCCACTCAGGCATGAACTTCTAGGAGGAAGAGGTAAGGATTGTGTAGGCTGGGTTTTCCTAAGATACCAATGGTTTAGCAAGAGTATTGTAGATTGAGGAAAACTTAAGGTTAATTAAAGCAGATTTTAAGAAATAGTATAGAAGAGGCCATTCTCACTTGGGAATGCTGATACATTATTGATCAATGAAAGTTTTTATCAGTTAAACTTCTATTTTCAGAATCAGTGTTTTCTGAGAGAAAAGCCTGGTTTCCAGTCTTGATAAGATAGTGCCTTGGCAGATGATCCCTTCACGACCAGTGGTGCGAATGGCAATACTGGGAGAGTGGGTTGGAAAGAGGGAACCGATTACAAGGATCTATATGTGACCTCCTCCCTGGGGGACGGACAACAGAAAAGTGGGTAAAAGGAGCTGTCGACAAGACAGGATATGACAAAATAAACAATTTATAAATTATCAAGGGCTCATGAGGTAGGGGGAAGTGGGGAGGGAGGGGGGGAAAATGAGGACCTGATGCGGGGGGGCTTAAGTGGAGAGCAAATGTTTTGGGAATGATGAGTGCAATGAGTGTACAAATGTGCTTTACACAATTGATGGATGTATGGATTGTGATGAGTCATATGAGCCCCTAATAAAACAATTTAAAAAAGATAGTTCCTTGATAGGGTGGCAAAGCTAAGTGGGTGGCTTCTGTGGCTCAGTTGCAGTGACACTGCTAGATGATCCTGATTCATACTTGTAGGGTGCTCTGCCCCATCAGAACCAGTTGACAATTCTTAATTCACAGCTACCCTTGTCTAGTGACATGGACAAATGGCTCTTTGCACAAGTGCCTCCCCTTCCAATTTAATAGTGATATTTCCGATTGACGCGAATAACATCATCAACAGCTAAGTAGCCAGACACTCATTTAGTTTTTTCAAAAGTAAACTTCCTAATGTGACAAAGTGTAACATTTGACAGTTTCAGATTAAATTACAATTTAGACTCGAATTTGTCTTGATAATCACCTACAGCAAAATCATTTTTATTAATATCACCTTTAATAAAAGGTCTTCCCCACTACACAGCCTATTTTATCAAACCCTACACAGTAATAATATTAGGTTAAAAGCTACCTGGGCTCTTTGGAGTTTGGGCTAAGAATATTTCAAACAAATGGTTGGAAGCCACCACGTAAGTTTGTAGGTATCCTTTCTTGACGCTTTGGGAACAGTGGTATGCTGGCACACAGCATACCACTTCCCTTATCAGAGATTTGGAACTAATGGGTTCTTTGCTCTCATTCAATATGGCTTCCTTGGGAAAAGAATCTGGAAATGCCCCGATAGTTCTCTAATCGTCTACTACAAGATTTCTGGATGCCTTCGTGGCGTAGTGGTTACAAGTTGGGATGTGATCCGTAAGATCAACAATTCAAAACCACCAGCCTGCTCCAAAGAGAAAGATGGAGCTTTCTACTCCCCAAAGAGTTAGTCTCGGGATCCTGCAGGGGCAGTTCTGCTCTTGTGGACAGCCTTATCCTCCTGGGAAAGGGACAGAGAAATGCATATAATTAAAGAAGTCTGTTTGACACACACTTTAATATCATCCTAAATACTGGCAGAAGCGGAACATAACCACTTAGATACTTGGTAGTATCGAGTTACACTCATTCTTTCTCTGTAAACAGATCAGTTTTACTCGTCCTTTAGTCCTCCACATCTAAATGGAAATCCAGGTCATTGCGAGAAATACATTTAAATTATACTTGTCTCAAAGAATTTTATTCTACAGATATTAAATCCTAGTAACAAATAAAATTAGAATTGTGAAACTATTTTTATAAAACAAACATTTATTAGGACAATTTTTTGTAGAACTTCTAAAGAAATCATTTTAAGACAAAATTGATTCGAGTAGGTAACAAAATAATCTATTGTTTAAATTCCTTCTCATCAAGATGACTTTACCCCATAAAATAGTACATCAGCTGGGCAAATTCATTCTTCTTGAAGAATAAAATTGTTTGCCACAGTGTGATATATTTTGTTCTGTACAGTACCTCAGAATTGAATTTGTAGTCTTCAAGAGCAGGTATAAAACATGTTACCAGTGCCTGAAACAGCTTGTCCTTGGTTTACTTTGAAAGATTACAAGTTAAAAAAAATATGCACTTAGGAAAAAATCTTCCCCCACTAGCTTCCATCCTAAAAAGTAAGGATACAATGAAATCATTTTCACAGCAAGTTTAATATATTAAAATGTAGGAGGGAAGAAACAATTAGCAAAATCTATTCCTTCAAGGTTTTCTTAATGTTTTGAGTTACCTGTGAATTAAAGCACATACAAGCACATGGCCAAATCCAAGTCACCTGAACCAAAAACCATGCGTAGAAAATATAGCAGAATTATATTTTCATTGTGAGTTTATTTTAAGCAATATGTTCCGCAAGAAATAGCCAAAGGAGCATTTAAGACAAATATCACTGGTTCTTCACAATCAACCACTCTTAAGGTATAATGGAAGATGAATGTGCCAAGGCTTGCTTTTTTTTTTTTGGTCCCTTTTACTGTATTCTTGCATGCTTCCATAAATACATGGTAATTACTTTCATGTTGCAATCAAATGAGGTCTGGGTCTCTGGAAATTACAGAAACTAATTCAGGAAAAACCTAGCAAAACTACTACTACATGCACTTAAGATTTTCACCTCATTTTTCAATTGTGATTAAAATGACTACATATCATTTAAATTAGCCTAAATTAGCCTCTCCACTAATTTTCCACAACTACAAAAGTTACAGTGTTTTGTTCATAGCCTCTTTGGTAGGATAGCTTTTACCTAATCAGATTTTTGGGAATGAAACTGAACAGCCACATCTCATTACAAAGCTCGACTATGACAAATTTCCTTGCACAGATGTGATATGAATTAAAAGGTTAGACTGAGCTGTTGTATGTTCAGTTGTCATTCTTTTTCTCGTGTCTACAAACAGGAAGGGAATGAATACAGTAATTCCTTAGTTCCAGCTAAGGGCTTCCAGAGCAGATCAGATTTGCCTCTATTTGACACGAAAGAAACACGTGAGGATCCATAGCCCCAGTTGGATTTCAGCCTGGACTCAGACTTGGTAGGAAGAGTATAGAAGTATCAGAAACCCTTACTGAAGTTTATGAGTTTGAGACTTGGGAGACTGTTAGTAGCAATTTCATGAGTTGTATAATGCTTGCTATAATATCCAAACTTCAACAATATTAAGATAGGCAAACATTAAAATGATCAATGCATACAGCCTATTGTAGAATCAGATGAAGTTATGTTAACTGCCTTTTTTGTTGATAACGTGTAGCAGAGATCATATAGATCAGGCTTTTTTTTTTAAACCATTTTATTGGGGCTTATACCACTCGTATCACAGTCCATTAGATCAGGATTTAAGGGAAAATTTTAAGGATGTTTTGACAAAGTTAACGGAAAAATCGGCATCATTCTTACACACATCATTCTCTGCTTGTGGACTCTTCTTTCTAAGCTCACCCTGACATCACCTTGAGTGTAGTTGCCACACTCAAAGATGTATGAGACCTGCCTGACATGTAACTTCAAGCTCTTACTCCATGTTGGTCAGAGGGTGAAGCTGGGGGGGCATCGCAGTAGTCTGTGGCGTCAGTTCACCGAGCTCATTGGTGGTGGTGCCAAGCAAAGAGTCCTGAGACACCGCGGAATCATCTGGCTTGCTGGCCATATCTGCTGATCTGTTCTCATGCACAACAGACACACTGCTTTGGACTGGGGTCAGGTTATGAAAATGGCCATTTTCTGTAAAGGACAGCAATTTATCTGAGATTTTAGATGACCCATATTCTTCATCAGGCTGTTCAGTCTTGTGCCCATCGTCATTCTTGGGTGAGCCATCTACAATAATAAGGAAAGACTTCCATGGAGTATTCTTATCATGTATCTACAAATCAAACACAAAATTCACAGATTCTTATTAACAAGTATAGATTAAAATTTTTGTTAAACAAGTGCATTTGAAAAGAGAAACAGTCTTGTCAACTTAAATTTGATTTCTATTCCAGCAGCATCTTCTTCCACTGTCAAGTATCTTTCCTACACCATCATTAATTAGGAGGTAGTACTTGTAGACTTTTTTACCTTGAGCCCTGAGGCTCCATTCTTTACGTCATTGCCCCTATGAACGCACTCACTGTAGAGAAAATCTGAGGAGAAATAGCTGTTGTCATCTCTAACCTTTCTGGAATGATGACAAAAACCCTTATAACTGTTCTTTGTATTTCATGTCCAAGTTTTTCATTTTTAAGTATGTCATGCTTACTGAGGTGTGCCGCCGGAGAGTGGACTTGTCCGTGAAAGTCCGCCCACACGCATTACACATGAATGGCTTCTCTCCGGTGTGAATTCGATGGTGACGTTGGAGAGCGTTGAGCTGGGTGAACTGCTTACCACACTGATCACAACAGTAGGGACGTTCCCCTGGGACAGGAAGAGAAGAAAACTACCATAGTCGATGGTCTCTTTAGCCTACTATATTTCATTCTGAATACATTCTGGAATAATGCTATTTTCAAACCACCGCAAAGCTTCAGCATTCTTTTCTGTAGGCTATTCTGAACAACAGCTCAAGGGTCAAATCTGCAATTCCTGTATCAACAGTTATGGCCTGTACCAAACAAGGGACAAAATCCCTACTTCAGCAGGTATTTATAGAAGTTATCATCTATTATCTACAGTAATGGGGTAATTTTTTTTTAATGCCAGTTCTCTATCACGGGACTGAATTTGAGTGCATATATATGTACTTATATATGTATTGCATATATAGATTATTATTCCTGTTTCCAACCTGAAAATTGTTAAAATGCTCACATATCCACATTCATTCCACCTGTATACTATGCTTCTCAGTAAAAACTCCAAGTAGGCAAGACATTTTTGTCTTCTCCCATTTGCACAGGTTAAGTGGTTTTATTTCTCAGAGCCAGAAATGCGCCTCCAAAGTTAAAAAATATAAAAGTTCTTAAAACATATCCAAATTGGCTAAAGTTCTCACCTAAAGCTTAATTTCAAGTAACATTCTATTGCTAAAACTTAGTGGTATTTTTTGCTGCCAAACTTAACTTTTATCTGTGACTGCATCCCACTGTACCTGTGTGAACTTTAATGTGCTGATACAGTGAGTTCCGCTGGGCAAAGGTCCTGAAACACACTTCACATTTAAAGGGTTTGGATCCAGTATGGATTCTATTGTGATGTTTTAAATACTCCTTAGAAGCAAAACTCTTGCCACAGGTTTCACACATAAAAGGTCTTTCACCTATGTTTAAAAAAATAGAAAAAGAAAACAGTTAGAAACAGTAACAGTGATGGAAACCCAAGGGAAGAGTAATTGGGTCCTCACACTTAACTTATAAGCATTCCTCAAAGGGCCCTAGCAATGGCTCCTTTTAAGTTTTAGTTAAACCTATCATAAAAACTCCATTCAGTGCCCTGGTACTTGCTAAAATTTTGTGTGAAGTACACTTTAAAGTCCCTTGAAAGAGTTCACTAGGTTAAAATTTAGTTAGCTTGCCATTTTGAAAATTTAGTCATTCCAATCAAGAAAGTCATTTTATACCTCCATTTTGGTGGAATTGTTGCATTTATTTTTAAAAACACTTCCACAAATCTTTGTCAAAATAAAAACCCCTCTTGAAGGAGAGAAGTTTATAGTGGTTATGTTTACATAACTTTTCTATAGAGTAGTAACTATTGGATTACAGGCAAGAAAGTTATGTCAGTTTTTTTCATTTCATAAAAATACAAATATTTGTTTTAATAAAATATCTGAATCTATTAAAATTCTCATCAAATGGCAAATTTTGACTTAATCCTTCCATCTGGTCTTCTATGAACCCCCAACTACCATCAGATAACAACTCTGTTCACTTTCACATCAGTAAATGCCTCCTCATCTTTGTTCCAACTGCATTTGAACTTGCACATATGAAAGTGCTTAGAGATAAATAATGAAATTTAAGGAGAAAGTACTGCATTAGGACAAGAATCACAGTATACAATAGTTAGGCTTCATATATTCCTATAATATGCAACAAGGTTCTAAATCTCAGGGTTACTGTGCTGAATCAGTAATAAAGCCAACTTAATTTTTCTGCCTCCCATAAAATATCATTAAACCTTTAGAAAACAAGTGAGACTCTCACTACCTTAATGCTTCAATAATGAATTATTTTCTTCTAGTTTTTTATGTGCAGATTTTCCAGCTTTTTGGGAATAACTGCATAACTGCATTTTGAAAGTCAACATCCTAGCACAGGCATCCTGAAGCATTACTCCAAACAGCAGGGCCATATGCTGGTGGGTGGTTTACCAGAATTTACTAAACTACACTTATGGTTGCACAGTTTGATTATTTCCAGTTCTTTGTTGTTAAAAATAGCAAGTAGCCAATAAGCATAGCTTTTCCCATATCTTTATTTTTTTGTGTGTTCATCTTTCATACATAAGACCCACAAAATAACTTCCCAAAGAGTCATAGACTGACTCATACTGTCCCATGATATAAAGGTCATCATCACAAGCTCACCAGCACTGAATACCATGGCATATTTTTAGCTATGTTTGCTTTGTTTCATAGATGAAAAGGCTAGCTCATGACTTTAGCCTGTACCACTTTGATGGATGCCAACTTCTAAATAAATTGCAATTTCCTTCTACTAAAAAAGACATTCAATCACAACAGCACGAGTATTTATTTACCTGTGTGACACCTTTTATGATAAATCAGCATGTGGTTCTGAGTGAATCTTGCACCACATTCATCACAGACAAAAGGTTTTTCCCCTGTATGAATTCTGAAATTACAACATTCAGATGATAACTTAGGATGTATTTCAAACCTCACTTTGCAATACAAATTCTGTGCTGGCCTGAAAAATAGTTTACTCCAAGAGGCCTAAGGAGAATGATAGAAGTGAAAGGAAAAGAGCCCCGTAACAACCATCCCAAAACGAATCTCAAAAACAAGGCCAACAGATTGGTCCATTCTCTGTAAGCCACACAATGTTCATCTCCATCGATTTAGATGCCTGTTACTCATAAGGCATAGGTAGAGCACATGTCTTTACATGGTTCGTAGAATACTGCATAGCACTGTCTAATTTCCTCATTCAGAAAAACCAACAACAGACACCTTAAGAAGTATTGCTGACAAAGGACTTGATCAAAAATTTTACTATCATTTCCTAATTATGTAATTGGTCTAGAGAGATTGCTTTCAAAACATTGAAGAAACCTGGTTTCTAGGGATTAAATATGAAGGATTCTAATTTCATAACTATTATAAAGTAGTATCCAATCAGGATTTACTGAGACTTTCCTAAGCAAGTATTTTAAACAATAGTATATAGAGTAAGACAATGAACATCAAAGACTGGCTCAGGTGTGAGGACAGATCTAGAATAGAGTAGAAACAACTGAGAATTATCTGTTCTCAGTGATAAATACTGAGAATTATACAGAAACCTACTTAAAAACTGACCACTCGTCACCTACAGTTCAGAAACAAATTGACAGAAAGAAAACACTCTGCCCTGGAGTCTAGACCATCCAATGACACTTTCTAAGCACAAAGAATATAAAACCGTAGATGTTTCCTAAGACCTGGATATGCCTTAAATCTCAGGGACCTTCCATGGGTGTTCTGAACCAACATGGTCAGGGAACCTAAGTTCTCCGTGAGGAGTCAGGGAACGAGAAATAAAGGGAACTGACTCCAAGTCTTCCTCCAGTTTGGAGACAGAACTGGAAGCAGCGCAGGCTAGTGGGGAAATGTGGAGTCCCTGCCAGCCCAGAACTGTCAACGGGGCTTGGCATGCTCAGCAGCCCCCCACGGAGCAGGAAGCTCAGTTCTTCATCCAGGATTCTGTGCTATTACCATGGAAAGGAGAAGGGGAAAGGCGGGCCTCCTTTGGCCCGAAGCCTGTGGAAGTACTAGAAAATTTTCAAAAAGTTGAAGAAGAATCTCTCATCACTTCTCTACCCAGAAAGAGAATTGGACGTTCTCTCAAAATTGTCACCTACCTCTATCAAAGGGACAAGTTAAGATGTGAACACTTGGGAGATAGAGTCCTCCTAACCCGCAACAATGCCTTTTAAGAAAAGAAAATCCCAGGAAACAAACAAGCCGCATTCTGCAAATTAGCTGCAGAGGGTCTGCTATTTCCCACAACACTCCAGTGTAGGAGTGAGACCACCCGTACGTACCTCATGTGGGTCTTCAGTGCAGAAAGCTGAGAGAACTTGGCCTCGCACTCAGTGCAGCCATAGGGCTTGTCGCCAGTGTGGGTGCGTTCATGGACCCGCAGGGCCGTCTTGGAGCTCAAGCCCTTGCCGCACTGCTGGCATAGGTGCCGCTCCCTACCACCCTCATGGACCTGCAGGACGTGCCTCTTGACGTCCTTCTTCCGTTTGAACTTCTTCCCACAGAGCTCACACGGGAAGTGGCGCTCGCTGCTGTGCACGTGGCGCTGATGGCTCTTCAGGTTGCAGCGGTTGGCAAAGGTCTGGCTGCAGGTGTCACAGCGGTAAACCACCTCCGCAGCGACTCCATGGTGGTGCTTGATGTGCTTCAGGAAGCTCTTCTCATATAAAAATGCTTTTTCACAGGTGGTACACTTAAAGTTACTCTTCTTATCCCCTTCATTGTCATCCTCCTCCTCCTCCTCCTCTTCCTCCTCCTCCTCCCCTGCTTTTGGCATCATTTCCTCCAAATCAACACCCGAATTACAGTTCTCTGTTTTGGGACTCACACCTATTGTAACTGGTCCCATCTCTACTCCCTCATTGTCTGGGCTTTGGTCGTGGGCACATTTGTAGTCCCCCACATCATCCTGGGCACTACTTTGCTCCTCTAGGAACCGTCGTGTATATTTCTTTTTAGGGATTTCCACAAATACTTTTCTTCCCGCCAGTCTTCCACTGGCTCTTCTGATTTTGGGGTAGGGGGGTTTAACTACATCTTTTTTCTTATCTAGTTTCTCCTTGAATTTCTTTGTTGGCAAGTCTGGCAGCATGCCGTTGCTGATTCTCTCTACGCTGCAATCTGAACCATCCACAAAGCCATTGGAAAGAGAACCATCCACGGCTACATCTGCCCTACAGGCAGGAACACTGACTTGGGAGCCACTGCTCATTTCCTCTTCCTGGGACTCTGAGAAATTCTGCAACTCCAAAAGTACAGATTCTAACATCTGTTTCTTTAATTGGAAACAAGTTTCTGATAGGTCCAAGCATTTTAGCTTTTCAGCCATTTCCAACATTCGCTGCACCCGATCTTCTTCTACTTGTACCTTTGCAGTATAGACAAACTCAAGAAATGAAGCGAAGTCAACCACTTGTACCTCACTCAAGTAGACATTAGTCCTTGTGCCATCCACGGTATTTTCATTAAGAAACCTTTCCTTAAAAAACTTGCTGGTGGCTGCCAGCACTGCTTTATGAGCCATAAATTCTTCGCGGACACCTTGGTACTCCACGCTAACTGTCACATCACACAAGTGGCCCAGGAGACGTAACTGGTGCATTTCATTCAAAAGGTTAAATGGGGAGGACTTGGATTCCAGCAGAACTGCCCCACTTTCCATCTTTCTTCTTTCTAAAATCAGCTTTGAAATGAAACAAAAATAATTTCATGTGTGAACAACCACTGAAGTAAAAGAACTAAAATCCATGAATTTTTTGTTCTTCAGGGAAATACTGACTTTCCCTAGCATTAATCAACCAGGTTTTCCTCATGTAGAAATTCAAATCACATTTCACCTTTAGAGATTTCTGCAGAGAAATCCTATATACATTCATAAGATAATATTTACCTAAAAAAAATAAAGTATTACCAAGATTTCTCCTAATGATAAGTATACATGAACATCAATGACATACATTAAAACAGTAACCTGCTTATCAAGATCATTTTCTAATTTGCTTACATGAACCCAAAAATGCAACAGTATTATGGCAAAAATAATGTCTTGATCAGAAAACCCATGGCTGCCACTGTCTGAGAGAATCAATGCTACCTTTAAAAACAACCAACTACTTCTGGCATCTCTAAAACATTATCATTTGAATTACCATTACACTACTGTATAATGCAGATTCCACAGCTTTTACAAGTCAATAAATACCTGGAGCAAGTCACTTAACTTCCCAGTACCTCACTTTCCTCCTCTGAAGAATGCCACAGGCTGCTGGGAGGGTTAGAAGTACAAACATGGAAAACTCTTGCAGTAGTGCCTGAGACTCCAGGTACACGGCATGGGTGGTGTTATTACCCACACTGTACAGATGAGCAAATAACGAGGTTATGCTGAAGTTTGAACCTGGGTCTGGTTCAAACTGGGTGTGAGCTCACAAGGTGAAACTGCTCATTACACCTTCCTTGCAACCTTGTCAAATGCCAAGAACCACCTTTATTTCCTTGACTTTCCCTAGCATTAAGCACCATTGCCCTTCAGAAGTCTCTTCTCATGGGCTTCTGTGGTAGTAACTATCTTGGGTCATTTCTTCTGCTTTGATGATTGCACTCTCTGGGCAGCTTCCCAGAATATGTGCTTTCTCTAAAAGATTCAGTCCTAACATTCTGCTCTTGGCTCTATCTTCCTCTTCTATGGTCATTTTCAGTTAACTCCTCGCCCATCAAAGTACCCACCTTCCCTTTAAACACCTGCAGCCAGATCTTCCATGCCATCTTAAATTGAACATGCCTACAGCTGAACTTAACATCACTGGAAAACAAAGTCCCACCCATGCCCCTGTGCTTGGGTGTGGTTGAGTGAATTATTTCATACAGCTCTTCTATCCATCACTGTATAACTCCCACCCAACAACTTTTTCCTGTTGGGACTGAGTAAGAGAAGGTGGAGGAAGATGCTCATGGATTATGATTCCGTTTCGAGTGACTGTTAACAAGGTTAATTGTGATTTTAAAATTTGGGGACTCTAATGTTCAATTTTGCCAGCCACCTGGATATAAAATGAACCATCTCATAAGCAGGAAGGGGGGTATCTTACTGACATCAAGAAAGAAGAGCCACAGTGGAGTGTCCTTTAGACTCCAAGATGCCTGCACACTAAAGCATGTCCATCCAGGGGCAGAAAGTTGTGACACCAGAAGTGGCAGAGAAGTGGTAGCAACAGAACCAATAGAGTGAGCATGAGCCAGAACTATGGGTCTGGAAGCCTCAAATCAAGTAGAGCAGTGTCTTCAGGCAGAGCGATCACGTTAGAAATGACCTGCCTCCAGGTATTGAATTGGGAAGCCAGGTGTGGCAACCAAAGGAACAAGAGCTGAGGGCCTTCAGGCTGAGCCTTATGGTGGAGTGGTGTGTCCTTTGGTCACGTGGTGACAGCACTAAAAGAACTCTGAGGCGCTGCCCAAGGATCAGAGAGACGCCTGTCTGCAGGAAGAACTATCGAGAATGTCTGGTCCTGAATTGTAACCTATTGACTTCCTTAATAAAGCCCACAATTTTGACTGTGGTCTGGCCCTTGCAATGAATTATCGAACCCGGCTGAGCAGCAGAGGGTGCTATGGAGGGCATGATCAGTGTCAGAAGTGGTAAGGAAGGTCGAAGGGCTGGAGGCATGTCTGACCTCAACCTCACAGAAATCGGTATTGGGCAGCTGATAAAGTCAGAAAAGGTCCGCACACTGCTTTTCACACCTTTCTTGACACTGGGCTTCACTGCCAACGAGTCAATGCCAGCTCATAGTGACCCTTTACAATAGGCTCAAACCGCCCTTGTTTGTGAGTTTCCATGACTAATTTTTCACGGAGTAGAGAGTCCCGCCTGCCCCCATGGGGCGGCGTGTGGTTCGAACTGCTGACCTTGCGGCTAACAGCCCAACCACAGCGCAGCCACTATGCCAAAAGCTGGCACACTGAAACCATCTGTCCCCAAAACACGAAAAACAAAGGACATAAGGCTTCCTCTGAGAGTTCAACTATCAAAATAATACATAAGAGGTTTGCGCAATTCACCTGAAGCAGACAACAGTTAACTGTGTGAAAATTCTAAGAACTATATATTGGGGAATGGAAGTTAGCCAAGGAGCTGTCACTGAATGCAGGTCCACCCTCGGGAGACGCGATGCCTACACTCGCCACCATCCTCTGCTTGCCCCAGCCGCTGCCAGCGGCCTCTGCAGAACGTCCGCTGCACGCAGGGTGAGGATTCCTCGGGGTGAATCAACAGAGCGCTTTCCAAGCACTATTCCCCATTTGCCTGACCCGAGGGAAAGAAGGCACAGAAGACGGCGACAAAGGTATTTCCGGCCGGATAGAAGTCCTCTTTCTCGCAGTCATTAAGTAGCATTCTGGCCGCCACCTCCATGAGTCGAGTTTCTCGAAGGACCCCGGTCTTACTCCCCAACAGCCCTAGTCAATGCCCGAGGCCTCCGCTGGACCTGTCCCGCCGCCGCCCCCGGTCGCTTTCCCCGGGAGAAGACGTTCATTTCCAAGGGCATGCCGTTTGCAACGACGTCTCCGGGGCCCACACACCGGCTCCAACCGGGCACTCCGGCGCCACACACCGCAGACGGCACCGCGCGGCCGGCAGCT